CCCAGGGAGGTGGTTGAGTCCCCATCCCTGGATGTGTTTAAGAATAGGGTGGATGATCTACTTGAGGATATGGTTTAATGGGGATTAGGGATGGTTGGACTCGATGACCTCTAAGGTCTTTTCCAACCTAGAAAATCTATGAAATCTATGAAATAAGGATGCTTCATCTTGCCTCATCTGTACCATTGGACCATTTAGCCAAGAACATTCATGCACAAGACAAATATATACCCACTCCCTGCAGGAGAGCAATGAGCTTTTCCATATTAATAATTTGTTTGATTTTTGTTCAAGAAGTGCTTCTTGCCTGTATTCTCTCTCTCTTTTTGCATATTTTTAAGGCGGCCTTTTACTTTCACTCAGCAGATCACGAGTGTTTTGTGGGTAAATTACGTTCATGGATAATGAGAAATAGACTGTAATCACACACCTCAAAGAACTCTTAACTATCTTACTTAGGTTTCGAAGGCAGTACAAATTACATAGGAGTGCTGAATTAGCTAGTAGAATTGCACTGTGTTTAAATACTTGGACAAATCTTCAACTGTTTGAGCTCCACTGGCTTCAAATAAGCCTTGTAGATTTGTACCAGCCAAAGACATAGTCTTGGAAATAATTTTCTTGTGTTTACAGACGTAGAGCTGGATCTCAAAATATTTCAGTTCGTTTTAAGATCTCAGACTTGCTGAGTGACCTTATGCAAGTCACTATGCCTTCAGGCTTTTTGTCTCTAACTGATGAGAAAAATGTAAGGCTCCTCCTCCGGGATATTGCAATGTATGCTGAAATATGGACAATGAGAGCTGTATGGATGGCTATGAAGAATAATTATTTAGGCCACTCAGGCTAACCACTGGCTTCTAAGTGAGCCACAATGGAGTTGCTGGCCATTGAACACTTCCCGCTCTATCACACCTCATCTGCTTATGCTTCACATTAGTTAGGATAGTTAGTAAGGATGTTTCTTCAATTCTATGTTCTTGTTGTTTAATATTGAAATACTAATTAACTGCCAGGGAAGAAGCTTTATATTCTTTTTCCAATAAACTGTAGCAATATAGCATCAATATGAACATATCAACAAATTAAAATTATGTTTCAGAATATTTAGATGTTGGAGCCAAGTATAACCATGGAAAGGAAAAGCTATAACAATACTAGTTAGGACAATGGCAGACATGAAGCTAACAACTACCCTTTGAGTATGTGAAATATGTTGGGACTGATAAGAGACCCTGTTTAAATGACAATAAATACTCATTGCACAGAATAGTCAGTTGTATAATTGCATATCATTTTTCAGGTCTAATTCGTCTGCAAGAGCTCATCAAAGCCCCTTCTAGATACAACATTAAAATCAAAATCCGCCAACTGCCCTCTGGAAATAAAGATGCCAGGCCCTTACTCAAGGAGATGAAGAAGGGCAAAGAGTTCTACGTGATATTTGACTGCTCACATGAAACGGCAGCAGAAATCCTTAAGCAGGTAAGGGGAAGGGGGTGAAAAAGCATGACATTCATTTTGCACTCTGAAAGTTGTCAGCCTCACTGATTTTCATTTTCTGGGAAACACCAAAACTGAATGCATTTATCAATTAGGACATAGGCTTGTTAATACCTGGGATAGAGTTGTTACAGAACGTGCAGCAGCATCTGAGCACCCCACAAGACTTCAGGGCTTCATAGAGGACCAGCAGCAGTATTTGTGTCTGAAGAGAAGTCCGTAGATATCTTGCAGAAGGAAATGTGTGTTTCTTTTTAATACTTCAGGTTCTGCTTGAGTAGGAAGATTGTTGCATTTATTTTAGCTGATCCTGCTTTAATAAATATGGTTTTTATGTCTTCTCCCACAAAAAAAAAAAAAAAAAAGAAAGAGCCTAATTTGGAGAGCTTAGGAAGTGGCTCATATTCAGGTATTGCCTCCACAGAGGCTGCTCATCAGGTTCTATGCTGACTACAGTAACAACGGGGCATTAATCCACTGCAGACAAGAGCATAACTCTGCATTCACATCCCTGTAACAAAGCAAGATTTGGTCTGCTGGCACTACCTCGTTACCTTTTAAACTCTGGTACAGCAAGAAGATGGAATGGAGAAAGTATCAGAATTAAAATGTATACTTTAAAGCAGGAAGAGAGGCTATTGTGCAAGGGTTGACATAACCCTGACCTAGATGTGAGTTGCACAGTCACACAAGGCAAGGACAAACACCACAAAGCCTGATGTTAATGGGCTGAGACATTACCAGAGGCACACAAAGAGTGGTGTAAATTAGAATTTACTGTTACTTACTATTGATTTCTAGACAGTCAAAGTCTAAAGCACTGGCTCCTGCAATTCATTGACCTATAGACAATAATACCAAGTAATGTATTGTGAATGACTTTTCCCTTTTTGCTACAACTGGAAGTGCGAAGGGTTTTTTGTTTTACTGTCAGTCAGTGAAATGGGAAACACAGATCCCAGAAGACCATCAGAGAGGCTCCACTGATCAAAATGTGTAGATATGGGCTGTCCCGTAAAGGTTAAGACCTATGCTTCCATCCCAGAATTTTTTTGCTGAAATATTTAAGTTATGCAAAGGAGCATGGTTGCATTAGTCTGCATGATGACTAATGAGAGGATTAAACTGTCCTCTGCAGACTGGAGAACCTTGATCCTGTGAATACAGATGTGCAGGATGGTGTCCTAAATCAGATGCAACACAACTGAGAACAGCACACAAGTTCCCAGGAGCTGGTAGAGTTAGATTTATTGCTGTTGGGAATGTTGGCCTGTGCTAAATTTTTGGGTTTTCTCAGCGCAAGTTATGTATTTAAGCTACAGCAGGGCCAGATGCAGGCATGGTGTTGGGAACGTGAGGGAAGAGCAAGGGGAGGGTGTGCAATCATGCAGCTGCTCTCCTGTGTGCTGGGGAGAGCACAGTAGCAAACGGCTGTAGTTGGGAAGGGAGGTGGACAGAGAGATTTGGGGGGGAAGGTTAAACTGATAACATGTATTTTCAAGTATCTGCAGGAAGACAGTGCAGATGTCTAGCACGCTGCAGGAGGCACAAAGCTTCAAATATACCAGGCTGAGAATGAAAAAAAAAAAAAAAATAACCTTAGTGTCAAAAGAAGAGGAAGTGCTAAGAGATGCGCTAAGACAGGGCAAAGTGGCAGAGCAGTTTGTGTGGGAAATGGATCAGGGAGACAACTGACAGGCTGCGGATACAGATAATGCTCTCCAATGCCTGAAGAACTCAGAAAAGGAGGGTGAATGGCAGTGTGGAAGAAAGCAGGAAAATTAAGAGAGATACACCTGTGGGTCAGAGCTGCGGGAAAGGAAGCAACATAAATACAGGCTAGAAAGAAAGGGAAAATGGCTTTTATATGAGATGCTGGTAGCAGTAACTCAAGTCTTGAAATTCCTCACTGTCAAAGGCAGCTGTGAAATGGGAAGGTGTGGAGGGCTCTGGATTCACAAATGACTCATCTGATTGTAGGTTAGCTACACGAAGTACCATGGTTCACATTTTTATCATTGCATACAGAAACCCCTATATAATTTTACACTGAATAAAAACAAGGTATTAAAGAGAATACTATAGAAATTATTTTAAGAAAACTCTGCAATGTTAGTAGACAATATTTTTTACTTTGTAAATGATCCAATAGATATTACAGGAAAAATATATGTCATTGTTAAATTACATAACGTTTCTAATAGGAGTAGGAATCAGAGCCAACAGTGCTTAAACCTGTCTCCAAACCAACAATTTCTTGTGTGCCTACTGTATTTACAATAATGTAGCAGATGTTTAGTAGCCCATGAGAGAGAAGATAAGTAAAGGAAGGGGAGATTTGTAGTGGGTTGGGTGGTGGAGGGTATTTTACAGATTAAATCTGCAGCAGGGTCACACAGACACATACCCACCATTGCTTATGCTCGGTTCCTGTGTCCTGCTCACCCTCTGAGCCTGCACAGGTTCCCCCACCAAAAAGCTTTACACAAGGGTCTGCATTTCACCCCTTCCAAGCCCAAGGTCTGCACCAGGATCTGCTCTATCTTCTCTGGACGACCCCAGCCAAGGTGGGCAGCATCCTTCACCTCCTCCAAACCTCTGGGAAAGAGGCAAGTGGCCACATCTTATCTGCTCCGGCCACCTCTCCCTGCTGCGGGGCATTTCTGCTGCCAGCCCCCAGCCTGCCTCCGAGCTGAAGGCACGGGCAGGGCAGAAAAGCTGCTGCCCTTCTTCCAGCGGTGCCTGTGCCACAGCGGGGTTGGTGATGCCGGCAGCGATGGCTCTGCAAGCAAGGGCTGCTTTCACCAGTGCTCAGGGGGTGCCAGCTATGGCACAGCTTGTTTCCCGGGAAGGGAGGACAAAGGATGCCGAAAAGCTCTTTCTGGGAGCAAAAGTATTAGTGTGTCTAAAATTATGTCCTGAAAGGGTCATCATATGGAGCTGGTTTTGGGAGTGTGGAGCCGCCTGACCCAGCTGCATTACCGGGCTGTGGGAATAGGGGAGGTGACCTCTTCACTTGCTTCCTTCAACTATTGTTTACAAAACAGCACCAAAGACAGATTCCTTCTTTTAAATGGGACTGTCTTTTGGGGTATTATAGCTTCAACTAAAGTACCATTGAGCCACGCTTCTTCCTCATGCACAAGAACAGTCAAATCTGTAACCTGAGTTAAACAAAATACAAAGCTCACACACAGCTTCTCTAAACTCACACATTTCCCCTTTTCTCCAAAATGTTGTAGAGAACACAGGCTTTCACAGTCCCCAATGAGGTTAATGAGGCCTTGCCCTCTCATCACCCAGATCTGGAAGGAGCAAAAGGAAATTGTGATTATTAATCACTGCCTTTTCCGATAGTCACTTTGAATTTTCTCTCTGTATTCCCTCATGAGGGCTGGTAACCTCATGCAACTGGTGGAGGGTGGCTAAGGGAGTTTTCCAGCTCTGTTGCTTGTACCAGGTAACCACCCAAACTGGCAGCTCTGCCTCCCAAAGTGACCCGCTCCACAGGAATCAAGATGTTCTGAAATGACTTGAACCAGAAGGTTATGCCAGCAGGGTTTTCAAACAAGACACACTGCACCAGCAGATCTGATAGAAAAAGTTGCAGCTGGTCTGACTCTCCCATGGTTTACTTGAAAATCTTGGCTGCTGGAGCTTTAAAACCCGTAAAGAGTGGACACATCATCTGACAAGCAGAGAGATCTAGTAGAGAATTAGATGTCAAAGGCAGGAGCTGAGTGCCGTTTTGGCTTCTTAGGGTGAAATTGTGATCTCCAACATCCTGCTCAGGATCTGCTTAAGCATCGTAGGAGCCTCCCTCTTTAACTTCGGCAGTGCCGGTCCGATTCTGCTCTGAGGGCGCCTAGCATCTCTTTCCTTTCCACACCTAAAAATAGACATCTCTGAAAGA